AGCACTGAGCGATATTCTAAGTGAGGGAGCACTAGCGATTTGAAGAGTGTCACCATCGGCATTGTTTCCCTTGTTTTGAAAGTTCTCAATACCAACCCAGTCATCTTCCTGGCTGTCGTGATCTTTGTCTTGTTATGGTCTTTAAAAGAAAAGTCTGCTGACATAATTATTCCTAGGTCTTTTATGTGTTCTTTACATTCTATTTGGTGACCCTCTTGAGTTTTGTACATAGTGCTCCTTTTGAGTTCTTCATTCTTTCCATACCTAAGCAGCTGGAACTTATCACCATTGAACGTCATGTTGTTTTCCACTGCCCACTGGAAAACCCTGTTTATGTCTTCCTGTACTTTTTCAGTGTCCTCTGCTGTACTGACTTTCATGCTTATTCTAGTGTCATCTGCAAATGATGATACAAAAGTGTGCGGGGTGTTTCTGTCTATGTCTGCTATGAGGATGAGGTACAGCAGAGGTGTCAGGACAGTGCCTTGGGGCACTGAGCTTTTGACCTCGCTGATGCTGGATCTTGCCCTGTTCACTACTACTTTATGTGTTCTGTGTGTTAGGAAACCGAAAATCCATCTGCCTACCTTCCCCGTAATGCCCATGGCCTTCATTTTGTGCGCTATAACTCCATGATTGCATTTGTCAAATGCCTTTGCAAAATCTATATGAATCACATCTGCGTTTTGGTCGTCTTCCAGTGCTTCCGTGATTCTGTCATAATGGTTCAGCAGCTGTGACAGACATGATCGTCCTGCTCTAACACCATGCTGATTCGGGTTATGTTGGTTGTGCTAGTCCATGAAATTTGTAACATGCCGTCTCATCAATCTTTTGAAAATTTTTATGATGTGCGAGGTTAGGGCTACTGGTCTGTAATTTTTAGCTAGTGCTCTACTGCCTCCCTTGTGCAAAGGAGCTATGTCTGCACTCTTTAAGGCCTCCGGTATTTCACCTAGATCTAAGCTCTTTCTCCAAAGAATACTGAGGGCTCGTGCTAGTGGTACTTTGCACTTCTTTATAAATAGAGCATTCCATGAATCTGGTCCAGGTGCTGAGTGAGTGGGCATGTTTTCCATTTCTTTTTCGAAATCTATGGGATCTGTACTAATGTCAGTTAGTTGGTCTGTGCGGCCTTCTTCTGGAGTGAAAAATATTTCTGCATTTTCTACCTTGCTGTCATTTAGTGGGTTGCTGAAAACCGACTCATACTGTTCTTTTAGGATTTCACTCATTTCCTGTTCATCGTCAGTATATGAGTCTCCTCTCAGTAGTGGTCCAATTCTACAGGTATTGTGCCTTTTTTTGTTATTCTTGGATTTTGCCTAGGAATAGAAATATGTTGGGTTTCTTGCAATATCCTGTATGGCCTTTTGTTCCCTTTGTACTTCTTCTGTGAGGTATGATATCCTAAGTTTTTTCTCTAATTCAGTGATCTCTGCTAAGTCTATCTTTCCTCTGTTGTAGCATATTTGTGTTTTTAAGCAGTTCAGTAACCTGTTTTCTTCTTCTGTACCATCTCCTACGCTCTCTCTCTATATCTGATCTTCCTCTGGGTTTCCACATAATCACTGTTTTTGCAGAGGTGCTCAGAATACAACAGTTTAGAAGCATATATGTATGAAGATACACAACATATCCCTCCAAACTGCCAATATCCCAAACCCCTCCTTTAAAGTGCAGGCATTGTACTTCCCATTTCCAGGACTCAAGTCCGGCTATATAAAAATAACTGGTTTCCCTGAATCCCTTCACTGAATATTACCCTGCTCACACTCCAACAGCTGGTCAGGTCCCAAATACCATTCGTCTCCATTCACTCCTATCTAACATGCTCATGCACGCTTGCTGGAAGTCCAAGCCCTTCGCTCACAAAACCTCCTTTACCCCCTCCCTCCAACCTTAACGACATATGAGTTTGATCTGGAGCTCATGATGACACCAGCGATGGATCTCACAGTGTGAACATGTCTCCTCCTTATTATTCCCCTCCTTATTATTCATATAAATTATTTCTTCTTAAACAGGTCAGCTTAGGTTAGTTCTTGAAATTTGTTAAATAGTACTGTAATTCAAAATTAATGAATTATTTACAATTAAAATATGGTGCATTAAGATAGAATGTCTGAGAATACAACTTCTTCTGACAAAGTTTGCATGTAGCCAGTAAGCGATTCAACCTGCAGAGGTTGCACAACTGAAGCAGAAACATTTAAAACTGAAGAGGATAATTTTGCTGAATGACTGAGACATATGGCTCTTGTTCCAGACAATATTATCTATACATCTATTATGTATCCGTTGTTGTGTGTTGGATATGTGAATCTCATGTGATATGACTTTATAAGCAGGTTAAACTCCTGGAAACAAACAAATTTCGAGTTCCATAACATCAATTTAAACTTTCACAAGAAATTGAGGAAGACAAAGATTAAGAAGACAAAACAAAGATGAAGAAGAATAATAAGAAACAGAAACAAAAACAGAATCAGCAGCAGCGGCAGCAGCAGCGGCAGCAGCGGCAGCAGTGGCAGCGGCAGCAGCGGCGGCAGCGGCGGCAGCGGCAGCGGCGGCAGCGGCGGCAGCAGCAGCAGCAGCAGCAGCAGCAATGGTACTAAAAATGAGGTCCTGGGCTTTGACCTGTATAAGACTGTTGGCAATCAAGAACCTAGATACTGAAATAATTTCAAGGAAACATTAATAGTATATGAAACATGCAATCCAAGCCTTCATGAATATGATAAGTTATACTCCCTTCAAATACTGTACTGACAACAGGATTCCTGTACAAAAATTGAGAAGCTCATTTGGCAACAGAGTTTAGAGGATCACATTACTGCTACACTTTAGATATTATGCAATGAATGCCATCAGCATCTTTCCTGCTAGCATGATGAAAGTTAGGGTTGCCATATCATAAGGGAAATGGGCACAAATGCATTCGCTATGACACCATTATCGAAGACGTTTCATCCTTTGACCTTCAAGTGATCACGGTCCAGGGACCAAAATATCTTCAATAAAGGTGTCTTAATGAATGTATACATGTCCATTTCCCTCAAGCTGCGAGCAATTGTTTGTTCTTACTATAAGTTGCCACAGCAGCTAACTGAGGAGGCCACACTCATGGTGGCAGATTACAGTGCTACACATTCTGTGAGTAGATCATATGCCATGCTCAACAGTGTCAAAGATAACTGACCTCCACAAAGTTTCTAATACATGTCCCTTCAAGGGGATTAGTGCCTTGATCCAAGGAATGGGAAAAACCCTCCCTTTCCTCATATCAAGCCTCATCACCTCCCATTCCTCAGGTGCTGTATAGCCCTACATGTTTATCACTTAATAATGTAGTAGTAGTAGTAGTAGTAGTAGTAGTTGTAGTAGTAGTAGTAGTAGTTGTAGCAGTAGTAGTAGTAGTAGTTGTAGCAGTAGTAGTAGTTGTAGTAGTAGCTGTTGTAGTAGTAGTTGTTTGAAATGTATGCAATAATCTCACGATCCTAGGCAGCACATTCATTGAGTCAATGAGTTTGTATTCTCAGATTTCAAGTCTTACTCGGTCACAACGTGTGGAATAACACTCCCCTTCCCTCCGAGTCTTGAGTCTTGTTCCACTGCGTCATACGCTAATTTGTCAGCATTTTTAAATAATATTTTTAACTGATTTGATCTCATACTTTTGCTGAGCATGTAGGAGAATAAATCATATCGTAATAATTCTATTACTCGTCTCCAATATATTTTTTTCTAAATCATCATTGTATAGTTATTTATTTTAACCCGATTTTTTTTTAAATCGCTCGTGCCTACATGAGCCGGGAAAACTATATCCTGAGGAATAACTTATGGTGAATCTTAGAATCTGTCTAATGTATACATCTTTACCCCCCAAGACAAATCCTCATTCCTGACCTTAACACCTCATACCTCAACCCTGCTCGTAACATCTCACACCTTATCCCTGACCTTAACATTTTACACTCAACCCTCACACCTCACTTTTTTTTTTACGCATCAATTTTACATGCTAAGAGATGTTATCCTACCTCACCTTATTTCTAAGCCTAGCCCTATCTAAGGTATACTAACCCCCCCCCCCAGGATGTCACCCACAAAAATCGCCTAACACCCAGGTACTAACTGCTAGGTGAACAGGGACAGCAAGTGTAAGGAAACATTCCTAACTTTTCCACCCGTGCAGGGGGGTTAAACGACGGCTACTCAGTATGTGACCTGAGTGCACTGCCAACCTACCCAGCTGTCTCGCAATAGTCTCTTACAAGAATGCTATTAAGTAGTCCATAGGAAATTGAGTCAGGTGTTCAGGTGTGATCTGTTTGAGGCCTGGTACATGTTACTCATTGTAACATCGCTAATTGTTAGTCTCAGAGCTTAATTTCCTTCCTACTAACTGAAACTTCTTGGATACTTTATTTATAGACATTTCCAGATGTCACCAAACCTGAAGTTTAATTTATCACCCTTATGTGATGCTGCCACCTCATGCTTATGCATGAACATCTACCTGGAGGATATTCCGGGGATCAACGCCCCCGCGGCCCGGTCCATGGCAGAAGTTGCGACCTGTTGAGTAACTAACTGCCTGTAGTATAACCCCCGCTCCAACCCACACACACATTTCCTCTAATTCGCTACTTTCATTATGTTAGTAACATGACAAAGTAGCCCCTTTCCTTGATCTCCATTGGCCACCTCCGAAATCTCTAATGAAATCTTACACACAAACAGACATGCTCAGGAGTAGGATACCGAACGAAAAGTTTACTTGATAAAAATATTCTACGGTTGCTCATTTATTAATTACATATTTGTTGGTGTATCAGATACCATCCTTGACACCACAATATTGTCTTAGAGGGCCATTTCATCCAGGGGAGAGGAAAACAGTGAGAATTACAAAAGGTACTTGAAAGAGAGAATCACTTTTAAAAGTACATTGTGGACGTAGTCAGTCACGGGAGCATCTCTTTACTTGTTACCTGCAAGCCGTCGTGGTCGCCGGAGATCTGCGAGAGGTGGTGGGCGAGGCGAGAGATCTGCTCCTCATCGTGGTCTATGTGTGGATGTGCAGCCGGGGCTGATGCTGCCACAGCCACACAGCCCACCATGCCGCCTGCCCGCTGGTACACAGACGCCGCTGGCACTCTCATGTCGGCTTTCACACCGCCACCCTGCAATAACCAATGTACACTGAAGCTATCTACTAAAACACAAAGCCCACTAAATTACAATGAAAAATATAAACAAACAAAACTTCAAAGAGATCTTCAATCATAACAGGAAATTAAAATGGAGCATTGAAAAACAATGACACCGACATTACTAAGAATATACCCTATGGAGAAATCCCCAGAAAAATGTGACTAAGGAGTAACAGATATTTACATTATTTTAGCACATTTTGTGATGTCAAAGTATTGGTGCATCAAAACTGGAGCAATTTAGAAAAACTAATTCATCACAATTGTTATATAAATAATGAGAATATATGGATAAAGAAGATACTGTCAGTAAAGAAAGACCTATATTATTAAGACGTTAAACTTACAAAAGTCTCTTGAAAGTAAAAGTCGTAAAAAAAAAAAAATCTTGCTATATGTGTCTGTTAAAGCTATATAACTAATTCCCAAAAGCTGTCATTGTTGCATCATTAAGTTGTCAATTAGCAGAGCATACCTGTTGATACCTAGATGCATGTACACTATACTAAAATTAAAGATAAAAAATGAAAAATGGTACTAGATGAAAAAATCGATCGAAAAATTCACGTATGAGCTGCCAGCAAAGTATTATTTAACTGATAATTAATGCTGATGGAACGCTATTTTTTTGTGAACAGTTCACAACGTATTCTTTTTCCAGTCTTTCACACCATGAAGTCATTGTCGATAAGTTTCTGAATAAAAGGAAAATATTTCATTAACTGCAAAGTGAATGATAAGAAACTCAGAATAAACAAAACGTCACTTGCTTCCTCTTACTAAACTGACATACATTATAGTGGTGAATCTATTAGTCAGGAAAATATCAATTGACTCGGCTCTTCATATGATGACGCATTCAATGGCTCATTAAGATCACCTTCAAGCAGTGTTAACATTTATATACCTGTCTTATTAATAAACTGTAAATCCTGACATAAATATACATTATCCCTTTTTTGGGGGGAAATAATTATGAGGTTGGATATGGCATTATGATAGCCATCAATGTCCCCAGTTATTAAACTTTTAAGCATACAAGAGGCGCGGCAGTTTTGGCTTGGATGTTGTTGTAAGGCTTGCAAAGCTCTTGAGAGCAAGAAGTCGTGCAACACACTCCTACTGGCAAGCGCTAAGTGACATACTGAAACTAAGACACATATGCAACATCTGGGTATCTTTATTGTAGACGTTTCGCCATCCAGTGGCTTTATCAATACAAATTCCAGGACATAACTTGAAGACAGTAGAACTATATACTATATAGAACTATTCTACTGTCTTCGAGTTATGTCCTGGAATTTGTATTGATAAAGCCACTGGATGGCGAAACGCCTACAATAAAGATACCCAGATGTTGCACATGTGTCTTAGTTTCATCTTGTTGGTATTGTATACCATTCTTGTATAAATGACATACTAACATTCTACCTATCTACCTGCAGTCTACCTGGAGGGTATTCCGGGGGTCAACATCCCTGTATCCCGGTCCATGACCAGGCCTCCCGGTAGATTGGGGCCTGATCAACCAGGCTGTTACTGCTGGCCGCATGTAGTCCAACATACGAACCACAGTCCCGCTGATCCAGCACCGGCATTAAGTATCTGTCCAACTCCTTGAAGGCAGCCAGGGGTCTACTGGCAAGTCCCCTTATGCCTGGTGGGAGGCTGTTGAACATTCTTGGGCCCCGGACACTTACTGTGTTTTCTCTTAGTGTACCAATGGCGCCCCTACTTCTCATTGGGGGTATTTTGCACCACTTGTCCAGTAATTCGCTTTTGTAGGGAGTGATTTCTGTGTGAAGATTAGAGACCATTCCTTCTAGGATTTTCCAAGGGTAGATTATGAGGCATCGCTCTCGCCTGCGTTCCAATGAGTACAAGTCAAGTGTTTCCAAGCGTTCCCAGTAGTTAATAACGTGTTTGATGGAACTTATATGTGCAGTAAAGGTTCTCTGTACATTCTCTAATCTGCAATTTTACCTGATATGAATGGAGATATTAATGCACAGCAGTATTCCAGCCTAGAGAGAACAAGTGATTTACAAAAGACCATCATTGGCTAGTCATCTCTTGTTTTGAATGTTTTCATTATCCATCCTATCATTTTCTTCGCAGATGTGAGAGTAGCACTGTTGTGATCTTTGAAGGCGAGATCCTCAGATGTTTCCATTCCCAGGTCCTTCACATTACTATTCTGCTCTATTGTCTGATTAGAGTTTGTAGTATACTCAGTTCTAGTTATTATCTCCTCAGTTTTTCATAATGGAGTAGTTGAAATTTGTCTTTATTGAACATCATACTGTTTTCCGTTGCCCTTTGGAAAACTCGGTTTATATCTACTTGGAGGTTTACCGTGTCCTCAATGGATGACACTCTCATGAAGATCCTAGTATCGTCTGCAAAGGATGACACGGTGCTATGGTTTACATCTGTTTATGTCTGATATGAGGATGAAGAACAGGATGGGGGCAAGTACTGTGCCCTGTTGAACAGAGATTTTCACTATAGCAGCTTCCGATTTAACTCTGTTTACCACTACTCTGTATTCGATACGTTAGAACAGACATTCACAAGCTAAAATTATCTCTCAATAATATCATTCACACTAAAAAACTCGAATTAAAAAAAATACATCTGTAAAATCAAATGACTATAATTTCACCGAGGAGCCTACAGGTACCCTGTAAATGGTAGGGAGACAAATGCAGTATTATAGAATTCTTCATTGACGTCTCGCAAAACGTCGTCATTGAAGGATTCCATAATACTGTATTTCTCTCTTTATCATTAAGTCAGTATTTCACATCATTACGTATTCTGCTACAGTATATATATAACATCAAGACTTGCATAAAAAAAAAGGCCGAAGCTGCAGACAAAGTTAAAATGTGCTCCATTGTCAGTTAATAGCACGCCAAAAATCCCATGTAGGAAGGATCACCGTCCAGCAAGGTGTGTGTACTCACCTAATTGTGGTTGCAGGGGTCGAGACTCAGCTCCTGGCCCCGCCTCTTCACTGATCGCTACTGGATCCTCTCTCTCTCTGCTTCCTGAGCTTTGTCATACCTCTTCTTAAAACTATGTATGGTTCCTGCCTCCACTACTTCACTTGCTAGGCTATTCCACTTGCTGACAACTCTATGACTGAAGAAATACTTCCTAACGTCCCTGTGACTCGTCTGAGTCTTCAGCTTCCAGTTGTGACCCCTTGTCCCTGTGTCCCCTCTCTGGAACATCCTATCTCTGTCCACCTTGTCTATTCCCCGCAGTATCTTGTGTGTTGTTATCATGTCTCCCCTGACCCTTCTGTCCTCCAGTGTCGTCAGTCCGATTTCCCTTAACCTTTCCTCGTACGACATTCCCTTGAGCTCTGGGACTAGCCTTGTTGCAAACCTTTGTACTTTCTCTAACTTCTTGACATGCTTGACCAGGTGTGGGTTCCAGACTGGTGCTGCATACTCCAGTATGGGCCTAACATACACAGTGTACAGTGTCTTGAACGATTCCTTATTAAGGTATCGGAACGCTATTCTCAGGTTTGCCAGGCGCCCGTATGCTGCAGCGGTTATTTGGTTGATGTGTGCCTCCGGTGATGTGCTCGGTGTTATGGTCACCCCAAGGTCTTTCTCCCTGAGTGAGGTCTGTAGTCTTTGTCCACCTAGCCTATACTCTGTCTGCGGTCTTCTTTGCCCCTCCCCAATCTTCATGACTTTGCATTTGGCTGGATTGAATTCGAGAAGCCAGTTGCTGGACCACATGTCCAGCCTGTCCAGGTCTCTTTGCAGTCCTGCCTCATCCTCGTCCAATTTAATTCTTCTCATCAACTTCACGTCATCTGCGAACAGGGACACTTCAGAGTCTATTCCTTCCATCATGTTGTTCACATATATCAAAAATAGCACTGGTCCTAGAACTGACCCCTGTGGGACCCCGCTCGTAACAGGCGCCCACTGTGATACCTCTTCACGTACCATGACTCGTTGCTGCCTCCCTGTCAGGTATTCCATTATCCATTGCAGTGCCCTCCCTTTTACGTGCGCCTGATCCTCCAGCTTCTGCACTAATCTCTTGTGGGGAACTGTGTCAAAGGCCTTCCTGCAGTCTAAGAAAACGCAATCTACCCACCCCTCTCTCTCGTGTCTTACTTCTGTTACCTTGTCATAAAACTCCAGGAGGTTTGTGATACAAGATTTGCCTTCCATGAACCCATGCTGGTTTTCATTTATAATCTTGTTCCTTTCCAGGTGTTCGACCACTCTCCTCCTGATAATCTTCTCCATGACTTTACACACAATACATATCAGAGACACAGGTCTGTAGTTTAGTGCCTCGTTTCTGTTTCCTTTCTTAAATATGGGGACTACATTAGCTGTCTTCCATTTCTCAGGTAGTTGCCCAGTTTCAAGGGATGTGTTGAAGATTGTGGTTAGAGGCACGCACAGCATCTCTGCTCCTTCTCTAAGGACCCATGGGGAGATGTTGTCCGGTCCCATCGCCTTTGAGGTGTCAAGGTCACTTAAGAGCTTCTTCACCTCCTCCTCAGTTGTTCGTATGTCATCCAACACTTGTTGGTATATTCCCTCTTGATGTTCCCTTCTGTGCTGTCTTCCCACAGCCCTTCCTGTCTCTACTGTAAAAACTTCCTTAAATCTCCTGTTCAGCTCCTCACATACCTCCTGATCATTTCTTGTGAGTTCTCCACCTTCTGTCCTTAATCTGGTCACCTGGTCTTTGACTGTTGTCTTCCTCCTGATGTGGCTATACAACAGTTTCGGGTCAGTCTTGATTCTCGATGCTATGTCATTTTCATACTGTCGCTGGGCCTCCCTCCTTACCTGTGCGTACTCATTCCTGGCTCTGCGACTGATCTCCCTATTTTCGTATGTTCTCTGCCTTCTGTACTTTTTCCATTCTCTATTGCGCTTTGTTTTTGCCTCCTTACACCGTCGGGTAAACCAGGGGCTCGT